GGGAGAATTAGAAAAGAAAAAGATTTTTCTGGGCGGCGTTTTCGCATCTTAGGACAGGCCTTCTGTAGTTGGGTGACCCGATTCAGACATGCTCCTTCTTCATCTCTTCCTCTCCTCTTTAAAATGTGTGCTTGCGTGCGTGTTGGGTTAGTCAGAAGGATGAAATGTTAGCGAGAGGTTGTAAGTAGAAAATCTGAAAATTTCAGATTCACCGAGGGTTTTAAAAAGAAGATGTAAGGCAGACCTTCTAATTCTTGACTTTCTAAAAAGTGCTGGCCTATCACTGCCGTTTGTTAAAGAGCCTAAGGATCTAACACTTTTATAAGACATACCCATTCGTGGGGTTTGGCTCTAATTCTTTTCTTGAAATAAGGGTTTATATAAAACTATTTCTGCTTATTCCTATCTATAAGATCACATAAAAGTAACAGGAGCAAGGAGAAGTAATTCCAATATATAACTGAAATTCCAATAGAATTATAAAAATATCGTGTTTGTGATGCCTTTATCAAACTATAAAAATCCTATTATTTTTGCGAATATGCAGTGGTCTGCAAATCATTAGTGAATCCAGGAACTGGAGCAGTTATGCAAAAGTGAAATGTATTATTTAATTTATCATCATACTTAAGTTTAGGGCCAAATCATGCCAGTGAATAATATCCTAAAAACTCCATTCAGGATATCCCTGAACCCATCGTGCATAAGACCAGTCTAGACTCATGAGTTCTGTATCAATGATGGGGCTATGAAGGGATTACATGTTGCTGCCTTAATCTGTGTGTATTTTCAGTCTCAAAGAGATCTGCCTGTTGGTAGAAACTGGCACTTCTGGACTTTGGTTTTCAAAGTGATTTTATGCCATTTTGGAAATTATTCAGCAGTGATTATAAATGCAAGATGACTAAAGTGCATGGACTATAAAGACACATTTTATTCTGTTAATGATTAGTCTGATTATGGGAGAACTAATTTCCAAACAAAGTGTCTATTTTAAAATAACTATCATTTGTTTTATGGTAGTGTGATTTGAAAGTGAACCTGTTCTAGTTAATAACTATTTCAGGACCTCTGGATATTAAACTTAAAATCTGCGCGAGTTTTTGGGAAAAGGAAGAATTTATGGTTTAAACAGATGTTAATTGTACCTAGCTAGACAGTCTTTCACAGTTTTGCTTAAATACAATTCTTCAACTTGATGTGACAGTGTAATTTTATTTATTCTTTGAGTCGGTTAACCCCAAAGTAGGTATAAAGTAAACCTTAGTTAAATAGAATAGTTCTTTTTATTTGATTTGGTTAGATAAGTAGGTAAGCAATTAAGTATGTAGTAAAATTACACGGGACGTTAAATAGATAGTAATCACATTACCCTACTTTTGTGTAGCATTTTGTATCTTATAAAGTGCTTTAAGATACATTTATCTCATTTAATTATCAGAATAAGGCTCTGAAGTAGATACCATTTTGTCAGTTCTATTACTGGGGTAACAGGCTCACAATGGTGACCTCAAGTTCATGTAGCTAGTTTGTGGCAGAGCTGGGAGTCAAACTCCAGATATGGGTAGACATTTCTTTTTTAAAATATATTTGCCTTTTAAATGGTACATTTTTAAACATGTGTGTTTAAACTGCCTAATCAAAGTTTCTTTCAAAGTACTCAATCTAGATTATTGAATGGTATATTTTACTTTAGTAAAGACAACATGGAGGTGTGAGTGATTGAAATGTGCCCAAAATTTTGCTTTGAACAGTTGGGTTAACCAACACTTAAATATCCTTTACGTTAAATAGGCATAATTCTGCAATATGCCTCCTGCTATTTTTGTTTTTGTTGGTTTTATATAAGTTAGAGTATTATTTTTGCTTATTATTTGGGATACATAGGTCACTGACCTGCAAATTCCATAAGTGCAGAGAATATGTTTAGCCATCTTGTTAATAGATGTATCCTTAGTACCTTGCATATGTTTGGAATTTAGTGGGTAATAAATATATCATAAATAAGTGATGCTTATACTGTCCTTCACCTCATCTCTTTGGAAATTCTAACCCATCCTTCAAAACCTGTATCAGATCCTATATCCCATGTGAAGTTCTGGTCTTTCCCACCTATAAATTTGCAAGGTGCTTTGTGGATCTCTCATTATTTACAGCATCTATTTATTCCAATTGCTTTTATTTGTGTGCATGTTTTTAATTTTGCCTCTTAGACTGTAAATTTCTTGTGGGTACAGACACCTTACCTAGCATAATGTCTTGTACCATGTATTCCATTAGGTGAATAAAACCAAAACTGTTTTACATGTACTACTCAATATGAATTTATTTAACTTGATTATAAGTTTTATGGTAACATTTATAAGCAAATATAAATTTGTCCTAACAAAATAAGTTACATGCTCAGTATTGGCCATCTAATGATCATTTTCATTATTTCATTATCAGCATTTAGCATTATGTTTACTGTAACTTTTAACACTTAACCATATATCTAGAACAAAAGTTACAGGGATTTTCAGTATAACTTTTTATGACTAACAGAATTCATTTTCCAAATTACATACTACTTCTTCTCCAGGCTAAAAAAAAGAGAGATGTAGGATACAAGAATACCAGTTTGTATATTTTTCAGAGATTGCAGACTGATTAACATTTAGTGCTATTACAGTAGTTTTTTTAAGACTAGAAAAAATTAACACTTTAATGTCAAGATTTAAATAAAACCTGAGTCATAAGGAACTATTTATTTTACCCCTAGAACACAGTTTGAGGCAAAATGAGCTTTTTAACTTCGCTTATTCTGCTTAGAAATTGGAAATGATTTAGTCTCAGTGGGAAGATATGATTTGATCTCAGTGGAAAATTCTTTCTCTTCACTCAGTGATTTTATATAAACACTACTACCAGAAGTGTACCAGGAATAGACACAGTTATTGACTGAAATTTATTCTGTACCATGGCAGAATGAGCACTACAAGCTGACTCTTCAGAATACCATTCTATAGGAAGTTTATTGAGACATTTGATTCTTACACTTAATTCAATTAACTCTACCATGTAACTGGAATAATCAGCAACCAGTAGTATCTTGATTTTCAAACTGCATGGAAAACCTGGTGTTCCTAAGCCAAATAAATGGATTTTAAGCTGGGTAATGCAGAAGTAAAGTTGTGTTGTAGTTTTGAAGTGAGAGGTGGGTGTGTGGCAGGGAGTAAAGTGGTGTTTCTAGTCTAAGATTTAATATATAAAAGTACAAATTGTGAGTCCTTAAAAAGCAGTAATGTGATAAGTTTACAGTCAAAATAGCGCTGTTTTCTTAAAAAGGAAAAAAAACCAATGCAGGTCAAAATTTAAAGTCACAATCCTAAAATATCTTTTTTAAAAAATTAATTTAACTAAATGAAAGCAACTTTTGAAAGTTATTTTCTTAAACTTTGGAATGTAATATATTTTGGCCAGGTGACATGAAATAGAAAACAGATAAAGATGACTTACTGGGTAGTGAAACACTAGTCTGCTTAGCAGACAGCTTACTTTTTTTCCTTTTCATTTCCCCTGGACCAGCTGTTAATGTTTAACCTTCATTTACTACTTCAAGAGTCATATTTACACTTCTCCAGCAACACTTTATCCATATGTTCCTTGGCCTTATAGATTACATAAGGCTCTTTTAGGGCAACTTCCTAATTTTCTCATTAAGAAAATGTCACACTCACCCCAAATAACCCTATAGAAGATGTCAGATGATATCACCACTAAAATAACCCCATAGAAGATGTCATCTGATATCACTTACAGGTTTCCTTTCATTTTTGCCACTAACAGTCTTCGCCAGGTTGTTCTTCGCATTTAGACAGCTAGGGTGTTTCCTTTATTCAATTGATAGAAAAGAAATCCGTAAATACTGCATAATTCACTTGATAACAGATAATGAATTCAGCTTCCTTAAGAGGATGATAATACAAAGATAGTTTTTCTTTGTCATAATCAGTTATCTTATCTGAAACAAGTGATCATTATTCAGTTCATAATTTCCTACTGGAATGTTACTGCTTTAAGACGGTGTAGAAAATGTGACAAGAAAGAACAGAATGGAGTTTCTCTCATCGGAGAGAATAACTTGCTTGTTCCTAGTTCTTCTTTATGTTCCAGAGATTGAAGGAATTGACAAGTGAGGCTGAGGAAGTGTTTTTAATGAACAAATCAATCTCATTATTTTGATTTCCTTGATCATTTAAGATAGTTATATATATTGGGGGAAAAGTAAGGTCAATGGATTTTCAGATTGCTTTGTCTAGGTCTGGTTATTGATAGTGGTTAATTCAGTGAAATTGGAATTAAGATTCTTGTGTTTAAAACTTATTATAATGTAGTAATTATCTAATTGACCTTTAGCCATTCAGTATCACCAGGTTCAAGGGTTTCATCTGTAAAAGAAATATGGTCATATTTATTACCTTTGAGGAATATTTAACAATTTGGTTTAAAAGCTGCCAGATAAGTTCTATCATAAAAAAAAATGTAATATGTTACAACCAATATTAGATCATTTGTATCTTTAGAGTTGCTTTAAGATTTACAAATAATGTGTGGTCTGAGTGTAATCTCATTCCTGTTTGATTTGTTCTTGGCTTAAGAAGGTACTCAGTTTTACCAGAATCTGCCACTCCTTTCAAAGTAGGCCCAACTGAGCAAAATAAGTTGAA